TCCATTCCATTCCATTCCATTCCATTCCATTCTATTCTATTCTATTCTATTCTATTCTATTCTATTCTATTGCCAAAGGTCTGCTGTGGAACAAGAAAACACCCCAGAAATATTTTTCAAACCTTAACTTTCTTCTTAATTTGGACCCACTGGAAGCAGTGGAGTGGGTTTCATCTATGGTGATTGGATTCAGCTGCAAAACCATACTCGGGTAGTTCTCAACTGATGACCACAGTTGGCTCTTGGATTCCATTTTAGGTCATGGAAGACGTAAGGTGAGGTAGACCTGATTTTACAGCAATTTTTACAATAGTTGTGAAGCAAATCCGCTGTTAAAGGAATCCAGTTCATCCCATGGGCTCTTTTTGCTGGAAATTGTCTTCCCCAAAAGAGGTAACCAATTGCAATCGTGCACAGCAGGATGCTCCAGATGCTCACAAGTTTGAGCCAGTTACCATGTGCCCAAATTGCGGTCACACGATTATGAGGGTGATGCAACAGTCTTACATGTGAGTATAGGTCGTAAGTTTTGATAAGGCCACTGTCACTTCAACTGTCATTAAATGAACTGTTGTATGTTGAGGACTAGCTGGAATCCAAGCTATTGAATTTTGCACCATCTTGCAACTTTTTCTTGCCACCATTGTTAACTAAATCAATGCAGTTGGAAGGTTAGTAACATGAAGTGAATCAGGCTTCCCACCATTGACTTTGCTCGTCTGAAGGAGGCAAAAAAGGGATCACATGACCCCAGGACATTGCCACCGTCATAAATATGAGTCTGTTGCCAAGCATGTGAATTTTGATCGCGTGACCAGAGGGAGGCTGGGAAAAAATGTGAAAATTGGTTCTACGTCCCTTTGTTCAGTGCCATTGTAACTTAAAAGCAGTCACTAAACGAACTGTCATAAGTCAAGGACTACCTGTATAATCCTCTGTGTCAACTCATAAAACATTCCTATGCCTGTTTTAGTCGTTGCCATAAAAAAGGGAGGGGGAAGGAAGGAAGCCTAGGCGAGCAGTGCAGCAGTTTGAAATCGAAAATACATTCCAACTCTTAACCTTTAAAAGATTGTAACTAAACTACCAGAGCTTTTGCCCGGGAATATATTTAATTGGAGAACGTGAATGATGACACCCAGCCTGTGAACGTGCTCAATTGGAGAATCTGGTTTATAAGACGCCCAGGAGGGAGAGGGGAAGAATAGAATAGAATAGAATAGAATAGAATAGAATAGAATAGAATAGAATAATTCAGGAATAGAATAGAATGCAGAATAGAATAGAATGGAATGGAATGGAATGGAATGGAACGGAACGGAACGGAACGGAACGGAACAGAACAGAGCTGGAATGGAATGGAATGGAATGGAATATTGGAAGGAAGATAATAGAATATTGGAAGGAATAGAATAAGAATAGAACAGAATAAGAATAAAATAGAATAAGAATAGAATGGAATGGAATGGAATAGAATAGAATAGAATATTGGAAGGAATAGAGTAGAGTAGAGTAGAGTAGAGTAGAGTAGAGTAGAGTAGAATAGAATAGAATAGAATAGAACTTTATTATGATCTTAGACCATCAATAGACATCACTATTTGCAGTACATTAAAAAACAGTACTGACACATTATAGTATATTAATAGTGGATAATAACATCCCTGCTAAGGAAATACATGTTCTCAGACTGTTAGGGTCACTCTCTGGTTTATATGAGTGGAGAGCCAATAAGTGTGTGTGTAAATATCATTTTCCAAAGATTGTTCTATCTCCAAAAATGGGCACACGTTGACAGCTATAATTCTGTAACCAATTTTTTTTTCCTTGCATACATTGCAGCAACACAGAATTTTGCCACTGCACGCGTAACAGCTGGGTCTGAGTCCTGGAGGAGAAAGCCTCCATAAAAATGGTCTGCCCTCCCTGGCAATCTCTCTAGTAAGGGGAGAATATACAATGACCTATAAACTCTGTACAACTCCCAGTACAATAAAATATGTGAGATATCTTCGATTTCTCCTTTACCACATCTACATACCCGTTCTGCTACTGGTGTTTTCTTATACCTGCCCTGAAGGAGTGTTGAGGGGGAGGAGGGAAACAGAGTGACAGGTGAGTGTAAATGACGTGTGCCAGAGTTGGCTTCATATAGGGCAGTGTCAGTAGGTCACCTCTAGTGAGTCCTCTGAAGTTTGGCTCAAGAAACATGCTTTAATTAGGGTGATTGCTGGAATCCTGACACAGAATATTCTGATGTGTTTTTGGCAAACTGGACAATTGGCTCATTTTGCCTCTTATTATTTACATCTCAGCTTTTGGTAAGAGTGATAATACTATCAAGTGTCAAACTACCCAGGGACTCTTCAAATGTCACCAAGGCCAGAATTAGAAGATCAGTGCCGCCGTTGGAGAAAGGGAAAATCCAAAAGTTATCTATTACGGTACAAGTTGGTAACCTTGGACTGATTTCAGGACCATGACTCATGTATATTTCGTACAGTGGTTTTGTGACATAAGTTGCCTGTCACTCTTGTTTAGGAACATCTTAAATTGACAGGGACAACTGTACAGCAAGATGTCAAAAACAAACAAACCCCTTCTTGGTCTCTGTTGCATTTACGCTTCCACAGACCACAAAATTAACAGAATTGGAAGTGTTCTTGTAGGTCATCTAGACTGCCCACCCCCGCCCAAGCAGGAGACCCTACACCATTTTTGACAGATGGCAGTCCAGCTTCTTTTTGAAAGGTTCCGTCATGCCCCTGAATCTGAATCTGAGGAGGAAGCCAAACACCTGACAGAGAGTGGGAGTGTGGCTCCGTTGGCTGTGGAAGAAACTGGGGAAGGGCAAAGTCCGGCTGGGCAGAGCAGGGAAGAGGTAGAACAAGGGAGAGGGGGTTCAGAGAAAGACCCAGGCCCACCCCCTCTTCATCCTAGGGCAAACAGGAACAGGGAAGAGAGCAACGTGGGTTGCGTGGCTTACGGGGGAGGAAAGGGCTCTGATTCCCTTCATTAGCCACAGCTGGGAAGACAGTTGATAAGAAAGGCAGACTGCGTGCGGCAGGCTGCTGGAAGCAAACATGATTTTATCTTGTGTTGTCGTGGCTTATCTGTGCTCCTGGCATCTTCCCAACCGTGTGAGCTTTGCCATGCCTGCAAGTCTGAAATTCTCGCTCTTGCCCTGCCAAACTAATTACTTCAGTTTGGCTTGTTTGGACTTATAATTACAGTTTGTGTTGACCATGTTTTGGACTTGATTGTTTGTAGTCAAAGGCTGTTCCTGGGAGAGTTTTTCTCCAGGCAGAAGGTAACCTGGACATTGGGGCAAACGTGGAGATAATAAAGGGACTATTATTGCGTATCTGACTTGTTGTCTTTGTGCCACGCTCCGGGTCATCACAGCTTCGAGTGATGAAGCTCCCACAACTTCCGAAGGCAACTTCTGCTCCACGGGTTGATTATTCTCACTGCCAGAAAATTCCTCCTCATTTCCAAGTTGAATCTCTCCTGGATCAGTTTCCATCCAATTGTTCCTTGCCTGCCCTTCAGGCACCTTGGAGAATAGCTTCCTCTCTGGGGCAGCCCCTCAAATATTGGAAGACTGCTATCATGTCTCCGCGGTACTTCTCTTCACTAGACAAGCCAGCACCAGTTCCTTCAACTGTTCCTCCAATTATGTCCTACACATTGCAACATTAAATGAAGTTTCTTTTGTGGATTTGATCAATTACCTAGGAGCAATATGATCCATACATATAGTCCTTGGCTTACAACCATTATAACCCTTGCCGCATCCCCTGTTGTCATGGGATCCAAATTCGGATGCTTGGCAACTGGCATGTCCTTATGAAAGTTGCACTGTCCCAAGGTCACGTGATCCCCATTGGTTACCTTCCCAGCTAGTTTCTGACGAGCAAAGTCAATGGGGGAAGCCAGATCCACTTAATGACCAAATGACTCACTTAACAACTGCAGTGTGGCAAGAAAGGTGGGAAAAGGAGGCAAAGCTCAACGAACAAGCATATTGCTTAACAACAAATTTGAAGCTCGCTTGTGGTTATAGGACTAATATGTATGTTGGGAAGGGTTCTAATGTCCAAAGCGACTCTTATTGGAAAAGATTCATTTTCTTGACGGCAAAGCCAGTTTCATGGCAAAAGAGGCTTACGAGAACTGATCTGTTTTGGGTGTGAATTGAGACCTTGGGTGATTAAAATTAGAACCAAGGGCTTGCCACAGAAAGCAATTTGAGATCATCGCATTTGGAGAAATTGCAGGGGTCGGTATACATAGAGTGCAGGGATTAATCCTATC